CCGCCCGCCCCCCCCCCCCCCCCCCAAAAAAACTATATTTCGATTAATGGTATAGCAGAATGTAACAATGTTTATTAATGTTAATAATTAAAAATACAGCATATCTAGAGACCAAAGATTTTTGACTTGCTTTTTGGTCCATTAAGGAACCACACCAAACGTTTTAGCATTAAGGCTGTGAGTATTTCACTCAGTAGCTCAATGAGTAATACACTCGACATAAAGGTTCCAAAAGAAGGGGTTTCGCAGCAATGCCAGAAGAACCATTTTGGGTTCCCCAAAAAAGCTTTCAATGAAGAAGGGTTTTTTTTATGTGAAGGACATTTTAATAATCTAAAGAACCATTTCTACTATAAATTACCTTTTAGGCAATGGAATTATTTGGATGTTAAAGGTTCTTCTATAATGTCTAGGCATTTTCTTGTTCCTCGTTTTTTTCTATTCTCTTTGTTTTAGATCATGTTCTGGGATGGAAGATCTATAGTCCATTAGATGAAGTAATCTACTGTTTTATTTTATATCAAAAAATATATATATATTTGACATATGTCATGGGCTGACATGAAGTATAGAGCAGAACAGATGAAGAAGGAGTTTAGTGACTAAAATGCCACACTAAACTCACCAATGTGAAAATATAATAAAACGACATGTTCTCCTTCAACCTCATGTCGTTCCAAACAGGTATGATTTTCTTTTTTCTGTGGAACATAAAAGCAACATTTCTGAAGAATAGCATGGCTACTGTTCAGAAAGTGAATGGAAACTGAGGGTGTCACACTCTTAAAAGGTCAAGCCACCATAAAAGTACTGACACACACACACACACACACAAAATATCATTTCAAAAGATTTGTTTGTTTTTTAAAGAAGTTTCTTATGTTTCTTATTTTTTTGATCAAAAATGCAGTAAAAACCATTACTGTCTTTACTCTAAAAAAAATAAGTCAGTGGCTTTGTAAATATGAGAGCAGAAAATTACTATACTACTATAAAAAAATACCAAAATAAATGCCTGAACACCCAACAGTTATTTTTATTTTTTTGTCAAAATGTACATCTATTATTAAGTTTATTCTATTAATTTAAGTATATTTATTTATTAAGTTTGTCTATTATCAAATTTTTTCACACACACAAACAAATAAATACAGAATTTTTTACATTTTGACTAGCAAGTTACATTTTAAGTTACATTTAATGTTTTTGTTAAATTTCAATCAAAATATATTCTTGAGTTTTAACAACACTTTGAGAAACTTAATGAGTAAGTTGGACTCAATTAACAATCTTGCACAAAAAGAGGCTTTTGACACGGACTGTATAACGAGAGTAAATGCTGAAATCGATTGTTATATTGTGTGTTTTTGCACAAAATGAATATAGGAGTGATCTGTAAATGTTATGTTCTTTGCTGAATAGAAAGTTCAAAAGAACAGCATTAATTTAAACAGAACTGACAAATGTGAATAATTATATTTATCATTTAAGGTAGGCTATTTAACTGAGAATCCAGGTTAGCACTAATGTAGCATCATGTTAATCTTATTCATTCGAAAACAGGGTTAACTTGTTTTTGCATCTAAAATGTATCTCAACAATGTTTAGATATTTTTACTGGAAAAAAGACAGAAATACTGATGAGATTTTTTTTTTACGCAGTGTGGGATGAATTGAGATTTCCAGAGCTTTACGTTTGCAGTGCTGCAGCTTAATAGTCAATTGCTCTCATTAAGTTTAAAAGCAGTATAATTGGCACACTGGGGCACAGTTTTGTACCATTTTACTTCAACCTCTTTATTTGCACCCGCTGTACTGACAGAGTCTAAACACTTAAGCTTTTCTTGTCGGGCGGATCACTAATCATTTGGCTTGTCTTATGAAACTTGCAGCCGCCAAGAAGAGCAAAGATCTCATTTAAATAGGTTAATATGTGTCACCCAGATGTTTCCTCTCATCAAGATCTCTTCCAAGATGGCTAGAAGTCGTGCAGGGGATTTTTGAAACATGAAGAGTCAAATTTCATGTTACCACCCACTGCTAAGAGCAATATCAAGCTTATGACGTGGAACATCAAGGACCACAAATCCTCTTTGGCATCTCGGTGCGTATCTGACTCGGGGTCTTCGGCGGGTATTAGACGAGCGCAGAGATTCAACACTGAATTCTAATCCTCCACTAGAGAGCTGCTGTATCACAACGGCCATTCGGTGTGCATCACTAACTCTACACTACTATGGCGAGTTTCAAGTCCGTTAATAGTTATGACTGGTGAGTGTGTCTTTATGGGGCACTTGGTTTGGATAAAAGCTGAAAATCTTTGTTTATGGCCTTTTTAAGATTTTCCCTGAGGCTCACAATGGAGCTCTAATCGAAAAGGCAAGAAAATCACTTGGTTTGGATAAAAGCTGAAAATCTTTGTTTATGGCCTTTTGAAGATTTTCCCTGAGGCTCACAATGGAGCTCTAATCGAAAAGGCAAGAAAATAAGCTTTGCTGTCCGAATATGATGCTCAAGTCAAATAT